AGTCTTTATATGTATTATGTACATATGTCCCACTCTAATTCTGCCCAACCTTTCCACTTTGCCCTTTGGAATTCCTATTCCATAATGAAGGTTTGTTATTGTTCAATTGTTTTAGTCTTGTCCAACTCTTTGTGACTCCATTTAGAGTTTTCTTGGCAAAGATACTGGAATGGTTTGCCATTTCCTTCTCCAGCTCATTTTATAGATGAGGAAACTGAGGCAAACAGGGTTAAGTGACTTGCCCAGATGACACAGATAACAAGTATCTGAGGCCAGATTTGAACTCAGGAAGATGAGTCTTCTTGGCTCCAGACTTGGCACTCTATCCACTATGCCACCTAGCTGCCCCATAATGAAGGCAAGGTAAGGGAATAAGCATATTTATTTATTAAGCATATTGCTAAGTGTCTTGTAAATATTACCTCATTTGATGCTCACAACAACCCTGAAAGGTGGATTCCATTATTATCCCCAGTTAAGGAAACTGAGGCAGATAGAGGTTAAATGACTTGCCCAGACTCACACAGCTAATAAGTAGTTGAGGCCACATTTGAATTCGGTCTTCCTGACTTTAGACCCAGCATTCTATCTGCTGCACCATCTAGCTGCCTAATATCTATCATAATCCTTCCATCTATTTGCTTTCATTGAGACCATGCAGTACTGCATCTTGGGGTAGCCTCTTCACTACTGCCTATACCTTCACTTATACCCCTCTTCAACCCAAACACCAGTGCCTCATATACTGCCACTTCCGAACTCCCTCCTTTCCACCATCTTGCCAGCAGCCTCTCCTCCTTTAAAGTTCACTCATTAAAATGTTTTGCCTTATGTAGATCAGTTCAGCTGTTGTCTACCAAACACACAGGCCATTTGCTCTCTTTTCTCACATTCACTACCTGGGTCATCATTGACTTCTCTTCCTAGACTATAGCCTTTCAATACTCATGCTGATGCTCCTTCAGATATTCTTAAGCTCCCAGTTCCTCAATCTCCTCAGATCCTAACATCTAATCTTCCACTCCACCTCAGCTATACACAGTGATGGTCACACCATGGTTTTCGCCTTACCCACAAATGTTCTATTTCCTTGATCAAAAACTTTGACATTACTCAATTTGACAATAACCTTCTATCATCCCATCTCTTCTTATGCTACATCCCTACTAAACCTATTGACTCTCCTTGAGGTCTCCAATCTCTCCATCCTATCAGGTCAACTCTGATTTCACTTTCCTTCCTTCCCAATTCTGATCCTACAATTAACCAATTGGACTCTACTTGTTCTGTACTCTCAAATTCTTTACCTCCTGTGCTATTAACACTTATCCTTGCCAAACACCAGCCCTGGATTACTCCCATCTACCTACTCTATTCCTAGGGATGGTGCTGAACATAACTGGAGGAAGTCACACAATCATGCTGACTAAACGCATTACAAATTTATGCTATCGTTTTTCAATTGAGGCTTTCCTGCAGCAAGGTAATCCTTTGCTTCCTCCCTAATTGATTCCCTATCTCATTCCCCACAGAAGCTATTCCAAACTTCTTTCAAGCCTCCCATGCCAGTCCATGCCCTCTCAACAGAGAATCTTGAATACTTTAAAAAGAAAATTGGGACCATTTGCTCTGAGCACACTGTTCACCACTTCTCTTCTCAAAACTCCTAGATATCATTCCCAGTCTCTCCTTCTTTCTTCTAGTCTCTGATAAGATAGCTCCTATCTTTGCCAAATACAACCCCTCTGCATGTACTTTGATCCCATTAACTCCAGTCTTGTCAAATAGTACCTTCAATCTTCCCTTCTCTCTAACCTTTAATCTCTCCCTTCACACATAGCCAAGCTTCCCCATTCCTAAAAAAACAAAAAACAAAAAAAAAAACAACAAAACAACAACAACAAAACCTTCCCTAAGCCCTATTTCTCCCTCAAGTTATCCTACATCTCTCCTCCATTTCTAAAGCAAAGTCCTATTAAAAGTTGTCTACACAGTTGACTCTACTGTTATATCAAATCCTCTGCAGGTGTTACCAATACTGGGACCTCTTCACTCTACCCTGTTTCTCTTGGTTACTTCATTAACTTCCATAGGTTTTAGCATCATCTCTGTGATTTACACATTTAAATATTTAGTCTCTCCCTTGTGCTTCACTCCTGAATTGCTGTTCAATCATTCAATCATATCTGATTCTTCCTGACCCTGTGGACCACAACATACCAATACTGTCCATAGGGTTTTCTTGGCAAAGATACTGCAGTGGTTTGCCATTTCCTTCTCCAGTGGATTAAGGCAAAAAGTAAGTTAAATGACTTGCCCAGGGTCACACTGTTAGTAAGTGTCTGAGGCCTTATTTGAACTCGGGTCTTCCTGACTCCAGGCCGAGAGCTCTTCCCAACTATCAAACATTTCAGACTAGGTGTCCCAACTCATCCCAACACATAAACAAAAAGATCCACCCTTTTTCCAAACTTCCTCTTTCTATAGAAAATATCACCATTCTTCCCATCTCCTGTTCATAACTTTGGTGTTTGCCATTTATATTTCCCGAACATCTCTGACACGCAATGACTCTCTATTCACACAACCACCACTGTGATCAACATAAAAAAGCCAAACAAACAAAAAAATCAACCCTATTCTTTGCAAGCAGGAAACTAGCAGATTACTCAGAGTGTTAATCCATAAACAATTTCATTCTCAAAATTTTGAGAAGCACAAGACACAATCAATTCAAATATACAAATTTAATCCCCAACAAAAATTGTATCTAGTGAATTATGAATTTATAGTCAGCTCAAATTACTTTTGATTTTCAAAACCATCAAGAACTTAAAGTCAAAGTTTTTTAATTTGTTTTCTTTTAAACCTCTCACCCTGTAAAAGGGATTTGAAATCTGGCAGTGCTCTTTCTAAACTTGTAATAGCTGAAGTATACGCAACAGCCCTGCATTTTTCTCCTTCCAGAATAACACATAACTAATTCTAACAGAGGAATCAGTTTATATCAGCTTTTTGAGGTATTAAAATGCAACAATGGTCTTGAATTCTAGATCTCTATCTTATATTCATCCTTTTTCTTTTTAATCACCTAGAAAGAGCTTTGGTCATCAAGACTATAAATTTCAAACATTCCACTAACCTCATAAGCAAATAAGCAAAAATCTCAAGAATATATCATTTGGTTTACTTCTTTTCTCAAATTGTCTTTCTCCCCAAACATTTTTTACCAATGCCAAAATACCTGGGTATGTCGTACTTACCACAAGGTCAAACAAGTTCACTATCAGAATACAGCAGCAATATGAAAACATTTATAGGGAATTAAATTAATGACCTAATTAAACTATGACCTAAACCTTAGTGCAGTTAAAATGTAAAATGTCACCTTATATATTTAAATTTTTTAATAAAATAATTAATAGTTCATAAAATTACCTTTGCAATACTTGTTCCCTTTAAAAGATTCAACAGCCAGGAATTAAAAGCTTTCCCACTCCAATAACCTTCACATCCGCTGCAATGTCTTAAATATTCTTACTAATTGTTAAAATTCTATGATTATTACACAGTTCAAGTATCAAAAATCCTTCCTAAACTCTACTACCAGAAGCCTCCTGCCAAGGACAGCTAAGACAGTTAGGCCTATCATGAAACAAAATGAAATAGAATTTAAGGTAATCATTAAAGACCAGGTACTCCATTAAAACTGGTCCTTATGAAAGATTTTTCATCTTGAGGTACAATGAGTAGATAATTACTGACACTAAAGAACATAGGGCTCCTTTTATCTAATGATCTCTTACCCCAAAATTATTTATTAAAATAGGTCATCCAACTTATGCTGACACTGGATCTAGAAACTGAAATTATTTTGCAATCTGTTTTTATCCTTGCTTGAAAGATCCTGAAAAACTACACACACACACACACACACACACACACACACACACACACACACACACCCAGAGATATATAGTTGTTTATACATCTGCTGTTGAATTGACTTTCTCATTCACATGATCTAAACCAATACTTCTTTTATGAAACAGCTTTAAACTTCCACAAACTATATTTATTGCTCATTAATTCAAAATGTCAAAAAACCTGCACTCCTGATGGTGTAAGGCTATACTGGCACAGAGAAAACCAACAAGTGATATTACTTAGACCAGGTCTATTTTTAGTAGTGGCTTCTTTTTCTACAACCTAATATTGCTATCAAAACATAAGTAAATGAGTTAAAATCATCACAAAATAGTCACTGTGCTTTCAACTGTTTCAAAGTACATAGAACTAAACATGGCTAAAGAAAACATTCAGATTATTTCCTACTCTGAGTCCTTGCTAGCCCAAGGTAGAAAATGGATTTTGTAATACAGGTTTGTTTTTTTTTAATTTAGTGTCATTGAACTTGTCAATTTAGACTTGTTCAAATAAATTGCTTCAGAGATTTTATATTTAAACTTTAAACAGTAAGAAAACTGATGAAAAAATCACTTTCAATTTATTCTCATTAACACTACAGTAAAACATGCAATTGGATTGGATTACTTATTTGCTGCATGTGCAGAGAATGTTAATTAGCTCTAAAATGAAATATATTTAATATATAAATATATACACATAGATTTAACATTTAGTCTACTTCTTATTACCTAATACATAGGAAAAAAATCTATCACTCTTAATTCAATTCAAGAAGGTATTATAATTCACATCTGCAATTGCTGAAAGCTATCTGATATTCATGCCAATTTCAAAAGATTATCTTCAGGAATATAATCAGAAAAGACTGATTACAATTATAAAATATCAATGAATTAGTTGAATTTTGGGTTTTTTTTTTCATTTTTCTGCTACTACAAAAATTCATATCATATAAATTGATTACAAAATTAAAAAGATCTGATGAGTATATAATCAAAATCCTCTTGGTTAAAATGTATGTAATTTTATATTTTTTCTAATTTTAATTTATCAATGGGGTAGAATCTCACCGGAAAAGGAAAAATGTTGTCAGCTCTGTTCAAACTCTCTTCCATCCAAGATTTGGGAGCAAAAGCCGAGCTGGGCCGAGCATATTTCTGTAGCTGAATATGATTGCTTGCAAAATTTTTCTTCAGGGGTGAAATGGAGTTGAGAGGTGTTATTCCTCCATTGAGTCCTCTGCGGTGATCTCGGCCTTGAGAGCCTCCCCAGCCACCATATCCACCGCCACCGGGGCTCCATGAAGAAGATGGTGTAGGTGAAGGACTTTGGTAGCTGCTCCACGGAGAGGGTGGCTTGTTTAGATTATTAGCCAAATGAGGCAGCTGATTAAAAGCAGCATTTCGGTGTGTAAATGGAGGTGGATGAGGACTAGCAGGAGACCTCCTCTGCTGCTGATGCTGATTGTGATGATGTTGAAAATGAGGATGATGAGGGTGGTGCTGAGAAAGGGGTCCTATCTGAGGGGAAAAGCTGCCACCAAAGCCAGGGCTGACGTGATGCGGAAAATTTTGAAACAGCAGAGCACCATTATTAGCTGAAGCAGCAGGGACACCTCCCTGGTGAAAAAAACTTGCATCTTCATTGATTATTGTAGAGGAAGAAGGAGCAATAGCTGCTGACCAGTTACTGAAACCAGTAAGAGAGGATGCACTGGATGTTAAGGGTTGAGTTGAAGTACCTAACCCTGCAGCCTCTTGGTAGTCAAATCCTGTCAACACTGGTGATTCTATTCTTATTTTTTCCTTCCCATTGCCATTTTCTGAAGAGCTATCTCCTTGATTTTCTTCAGATTTAGCTTTCTCGGGTTCAGGCAGTATCCCTGCTTCCTGACCTTGACTGGGGGAAAGCTGCTGCTTTTCTAGAGAATCTTGCTGTTCCTGTTGCTGTTGCTGAGTTTTAGATTTTTCTGACCCCAGAATCTCATCCTGAATGTTATGGGCAGCTGGAGCAGGAAAGAGCCAAGCTGACCCAGCATTACTGCCATTGGCAGCTGTGTTATTATTTATAAAAGCAGCAGGGCTGGGGGTTGCATTTTGATGATGGTGTGGAGGCTGCAGATGTGGATGAAATCTGACTGGAAAAGCTGATTTATTCCCAGTATTGTTTTGCACCAGCACTCCAAACCCGTAATCCCCCATTTATTATTTTTATGATATGAATTCTTACAACAAAAATGACAACCTAGTGCTTAAGTCTGCCTCCTTTCCTCCAACCCAAAATGAGTGTTTTAGAAATGTCTTATTATAGCTCAGTGATCCCAGCTTATCCCCACCCTAAATATTTCTGATTTGGAATTCTGGTATCTGAAAACCTAAAAAATCTCTCTTAAGATATGGACATGAGTCAAATTGTGTTTATTTCTAAGGGAGAGGGTAGGAAGGGGAAAAAAATCAAGTCTTTGGTTAGTAAAATAGGTGGTTTCTTTTTCCAAAGGAAAATGCACATGAATGACAAAAACAGAGCTTCTTAAGCATTTAAGGATGTAGAAGAATAAGCATTGCGCAGAGTAAAAAATATATCTATAATTTAACAATCATATGTTCTTCCTCAGCAGTTTTGACTCACCCACATATGAAATCTTTTAAGGATTAGGGGAGAAGACGTCTTTTCTTGGCAGCTCAAAAAAAATTTTTTTTTAAATCAGGAATAATTTAAGAACATTATATATTATATATTTATGTATAAAGATATTATGTTATGTGGAGAGAAAGAAAGAAATGGGGTGAATTCCTGGTTCCGGGAAATAAAATTTCAGCCGAGGAAATCAGCATTGAATAGGAATGGGAGGGTTGCAGGAAGGTTTCTGCTGTTCCTGGTACTGTTTTTGCTCTTTCTGCTGCTCCTGGTGCAGTTTTTGCTCCTGGGGCTGTTTTTGTTGCTGCTGCTCTTCCTGCTCCTGGTGCAGTTCTTGCTGTTGCTGCTCCTGTTTTTCCTGCTTCTGGTCTCCCCCCCACCTCCTCTCCCCCATGAAATGGGCTGAAAACACCCGTTTCTCTCTAGGGGGGACAGAGATTAAAAAAGGATTAAAGCGATTCACTGTGAGGGGAGGGGGGGCAAAACAATACGGGGGGCCTCAGCAGCCGCCGGCCGAGGTGTGCGGGGGGAATTGGGGCGATCTGGAAGGAAGGTCCTGCCGCTGCTGCTGCGGTTTCTGCCTCGTCCCCTCTCTGCGGCTCCGGGGTTTTTTTTCCCTCATGGGACCCGGGGGCGGTTTGTTCGGTTTCTCAGTTCGATTCTCCGCAGGAAGAAAAAAACAAAAAAACAAACAAACAAACAAAACAAAAACAAAAAAACCAACACTGCGATTATTCTAATGGAGAAATGCCCCCCTTTCTTTCTTTTCTGCCCCCCGAAAAATTTAAATAATTATTTACAGTTTTTCTCCTCACGGTTCCTGGGCCGGCGCAGCCGCCGTCTCTCCTGGCCCCGTAGTCAGTGCCGTCTTTACCGCGGCCTTCTCCTTCCTCTTAGGTTTCTCTTCTTCCTCCTCCTCCTCCTCTGATGTCTCCACCGCCACCGCCTCCCGGTGCCCGGTCTCCCTGCAGCCGCCACCGACTCCTCCTCAGGACCGAGCCGAGTGAAATGACAACCAGCTGGAAAGACCAAGAGACACTTCCGGTTCGGGGAAGGAGGGGCGGGGCGCCCCGCGAACCCCCGCCCACCCACCAAAAGGCCAGTCTGAGAGCGGGTTCTGTGGTGACCACACCCCGTCCCCATTTGGGCCCCGCCCAAGAAGGTCGAAAAGATACCTCCGGTGACGCCCAAGCAAACTGGAACCCGCCCATTAAGGTCATTAGATTGGATTTCCCCTCCCCCACCCTCTCAGTAAACTCGACCCGTCGCCATCTTAGGTGAGGGCAAAGGAATCCATTGCTGATTCCTTTCTCTGACTGGGAGGCGACTGAAGAAGAGTGACCCGAGTGGGAGAGACCTAGACCCCTCTGCCACCTGAGGCATGAAGGCGGGGTGTTAAGGAACTGAACCGACGACCTGCGAAAAGCCGGGGAGCGGCGTTGCCCATAGTCAAGGTGGCGCCCCGGGCGTCACGTGCGCCAGTCCCGGCTCCGCCCCGGAGGGCTCTGGAAGGCGAGGCGGTGCCTGCCCTGCCTGCCCTGCCTGCCCTGCCTGCGCAGCTGGAAAGGTCAGAGCTGCAACCCAGCTGTGCTGAGAGCTGCGTTTCTTCTGGCCTCGGCTGTAGGCCTGTGACCGGGCAGGGCCTGGCTGGGCGTGTGGCCTCCTTGACTGCGGTTGACCCCGAGGCCCGGCACCTTGTGCTACAGGCCCCGCCTTCTTGGCCGAGGGATCTTGGATGACTTGCACAGTAGCGGTGGCGGGTGGGCTGCCTCTTAGAGCCGAGTGGAAGTGATCCCTGCCAGGGCCCGGACCGCACCTTATCCCGGTTTAGGAATGGACCTGGGATGTCTGCCCTTTTATTTACAGAAAAGTTAAATGACTTGTCCTAGGGCTTAGGATCGCAGATTTAGAACTGGCAGGGACTCTGCACGTGAACTAGACCCATCCCTCCACCCCTCCGAAAACCCTAAGAAATTTACCCAAGATCACAGAAGTACTGAACATCACGGCTGAAGTTCAAAATCATTGTCTAACCCAAGCCCTCCTTTGACAAATCTAGAACAGGCCCAGCCAAAGAAAGTGACCCTGTTCAAGGTCACATAGCTAGCAGCCTTACTCTTAAATGCTACTTCCTAATGGCTTGCAGCACCTTTTTGCCAGGCTTTCAAAATGCTGGTTTATGTTCCTAGGATAATACAATATCAGAGATAAAAGGGATGTGAAAGATCACCTTGGGTGGGGGGAGGGGGGAGATTTGATAAGGAAAAAGGCCTCCGCATCATTTACCCTTGTTTATAGAGGTACAAAATAGCAAATCTGGAATTTAAACCCACATCCTGTTGGCATCCTCTACCCTGATTTTTGTCAGATACCCAGATATTATTGAAGCGAATCCAAGCATAAAGCCAGTTTTAAGAGTATAAGGGCATGATGGTGCAATGGACATTAAAAGGGATCATTTAGTCCAAATCCCTCCTTCTGTGTTGAAGGAAGCTAAAAGCCAGAGAAGGAAGTGACTTCTCTAAGGTTTCACAGCTAATTCACAGCAAACCTTGTTCCAGAATCCAGGTCTGGTGGCACCTAGTTCCAGTGCTTTTTCTACTATTTTACTTTAAAATTATAATCTAAGGCTAATTTAGACAAAATATAAATACATGTTTGGGGTCAATTGGGTTAGAGACAACAGAACCAAGGAAAATACCAGAAATTAAAACACTCCCTCTGGTCTGGAAGGCATTATGTGAAACAATTATTTTTAAAAAATAGGTATTTATTAGATCAACTATAAATTCAACCTACTTAGCTCAATGGGAGGCCTAACTTCTGCTTGCTACCCCCATCGTAGAGTAGGGCACTTCTCTACTCTTTTAAAAAAAATTTCTGAAGTCCCATCTTATAAAACATCAGCGTCTTTTTAAAGACACTAATCCTCATCTTCTGGAATACTTCCTGTCCAGAAACTGGTGGATCATGGTTAGTGAACACATGTACACTTGTAAAGCCCCATGCCATGGTGACCTTCTAACTCTCCTTAGCAGATGTGGGGTATTCTTTTCCAAAGAACCAGATCCTAGTTTTTCAGGGTCTGCCAGATCACCTTAAATATTCCTTAGTTCATTCCCTTCAGGCACTGGGGTACATTATACTAATTAAGAATATACCTAAAAAGCAGCAGTCATCTTGGTTTATATGAAACTAATTATATGTAAAAATATTCAAATCACAATATTGCTTTGGAGTTTGGTAATCAGTTACAGAATTATAGGACTTAGTGTTCTTGGTGTGAGTCTTAACTGGAATGCAATAGTCAGAAGACAGGTCTGAGCAGGTATTCTGTCCACCACCCCTAGAGAGTAATACTAGTCAGTGTCCTTCTCTGAGAATGCTAATAAGTGTTCTGATGCATCTGTAAAGCATATTTTAAAGCAAGGGTTCTTAAATTTTTTTGTGTTGTGGACCTCTTTCACCATCTCGTAAAGTCTAAGGACTCCGTAGAATGATGTTTTTAAAAGCATAAAATAAAATACATAGAATTATAAAAGAAACAAGCATTAATGAAAATAAAAATATAACTTTTTTTCTATACAAGTTCACATTCCCCCTCCCTTGAAATCTATCAGCAAATTCAAGATCACAAGTAAACATTGTTTGTGAGTCATTTCAGTTGTGTCCAACTCTTCATGACCCCATTTGGGGTTTTCTTGGCAAACATGTTGGAGTGGTTTGCCATTTCCTTCTCCAGTTCATTTTGAAGATGAAGAAACTGAGGCAAAGAGGGTTAAGTGATTTGCCTAATGTCATCTTTATTTCAAAGCAACTAGAAACACATTACCAATTCTTTCAGTCCAATATTTTTCCAAATAGAACAGTCACTTTTTAGTGTTTGAGATGGGGAAGAAAGGTGCTAGAAAGATTGATTTACTTCTCAGGCATCATCCATTCCAACGTTATTGGGAAGTTTAAACCATAGTATAATATAGTAGGTAATTAAGGAACAGGATACAGGCATTTTGAAACCAAGTACAGATAGTGCATTCTATTAAACTACTCCTCTGGTACACGTCCTGTTACTATTTGAAAGTATACATGTTTACTTAGGAAGGGCCATTATTTGCCAGCACTTAATTACTAGGTTACATTTTTTCCTTTTGTTTGCTGTTTTGCAATTATTGCAAGCTCTCTGAGTTTTAAACATTATTTCTGCCGCTTCCCCCCCAACTTTCCCAGCTACTATATTTTATTAATATAGGTTCACAATTAACACGCCCTTTTGTCAACAGATTGGTGAATGCAGCTCTTCAGCTGAAATGTTTCTGAATAAATGGTCTGGAAGGGACTAAGACCTAGGCATGCTTTAAATTTAAATTCAGGCACACCTTGGCAAAGCCTTAGTGTAAGCAAAGACAGATCAGCTAGAACAGTAGGAGTATAACTTCCAAACAATGACTGAAATCTCCCAAGATGACATATCCTGGACTGGTTCCAACCACCTGTACTGGACTGTATTGTACTGTTGACACAGATTACTCCTTGGATTGGATACACTTCACTTTCTGTTTTGAAAGTATGGCAAAGTGATACGACTGAATAACTGCTTGTTGAAGTACACCCCATAGGCGGACAGACCAAATGATTTCCATCTTTAACATGTATAAAATCTATGACAACAATAGAAGCTATAAAATTATCTGAGTTAAGTTGTCTAAGTAGGGATGAACACCAGTGGAAGAAGTCATACAACCATGCATACTAGGACTACTACCAACTGATGTTATCTGTTTTCCATTGTGGTCTTTTATCAACTCCATCATATTCTACTCAGAAGTTGTTTCAAACCATCCCTTCCCTTCTCAGGTCATGGTAATTTGTGCACATATACTGCTCTCTCACCTGAGAGTGTGCTCAGCTAAGAACTTTGACTCAGACTTCATTGAAAAAAATAAGCCCATCATTTAGTAGCTCCTTCTCTTCCTCAATTGCACACTTCAAATCACCTCAGCAATTATCTCCCATCCTCCCTTACTCTGCTGTTGTCATTGAAGATGAAGTGGCCCTTCTGGATAATGTCAAGAACTTGGGCTATTGATCCCATCTCCTCCTCTATCCTCCCTTACCCCTTGGATCATCCTCTTGTTCTCCCTAATTTTTAACCTCTACTTACCTATTGTCATCTCTGCTGTATTCAAATATTCTTGTCCATTCTTAAAAAAACAAAAACAAAACAAAAACTTTTCATTTGGCCCTAACATTACCCTAAAGCTTAAGCTATCATTCTGTAACCTTTTTCCAATCAAACTTTTTTTCTTTTTTATTATTTATGTGAGGGGATTGGGATTAAGTGACTTGCCCAGAGTCACATAGCTATTGAAGTGTTATGTGTCTGAGGTCACATTTGATCTCGGGTTCTCCTAACTTCAGGGCCAGTGCTCTATTCACTGCATCACCTAGCTGCCACCCAACTAAACTTTTAAGAAAAGCAGTCTACCTTCATTGCCTCATTGTTTGCATCCCATATACTTCTCAAACCTTTGCAAACTGGCATCTATCCCCACCACTAATCTAAAACTATTTTCTCCAAAATCATCAATGATTCCTTATTGCTAAATCCAGTGACCTTTCTTCAATCCTCTTTCTTGGCATATCATAGTAGCTTAATAAGTGCTCATGAATTGAATAATTAATTGACCTCAGGAAGAAGAGAACTATAACCTCTCTGGGCCTCATTTGTAAAATGACAGTTCTAAAACCCTATTATTTTATTGAAATAATTGAAAGAAAAGTAATAGTTTTAAAAGAAGCAAATAATCTATGAGATAGAACACTGTATTTAGAGTAATAAGATATGGGTTCTATGACTAATATGGCCATTGCTTAAATCTTCATCATAGGTAAATTACTGAATCTTTCCCTATTACATTTCCCCCTAACTGATGCTCTGAAGCAAGCCAAAAACTTTTCATGAGAACACCTTGTAAACCAATTTTAATCAGACACAAATATGTAAGATTTCCTAAAAGTATTTATAGCAAGA